AACCCCACCTCACGCTCCTCCTTTCCACACAATGACACGATACGGGCTCCGCGACGGAACAAGAAAATAAAACTGTGATCGTTGTAACGCATAGGGATTGTAGGAGGGCCCCGGAGTCAAACGCATTGGCAACCTCTTCACTGCATTTTTTTTTAGTAAAATGTATTATTAGCTCTATACAGCTAGTTGGTTCTCTTGTATAAACTTGGACAGAGTCAAACGACTTCAAGTAGACGCAGTAAAAAAAAATAAATAAATAAATCATGCAATGGTATTGTAGATTGAATTTTTCTAAAACCCGTGTTCCCAACCCATGGGTCGCAGCCCAAAACGAGGTCGCAAATAACGGGTTTTCATTGGGGTCGCCGGTTGGGACAGTTACCTCAAATAATTATTATTTTCGTTTTTAACCGCTGTGCCAGTCAGAATAGTATTGTAATATTGTATTGTATCTACACATCTCCTTAATAGTGGATTTTTAATGCGGCTTTGATTCGAAAATCAAGAAGCAGATTTAATGTGGAGAACGAGATGAGGTTTTATTATACAAAATCTATCTTCTATGTGATTTCAAATAGGAATCTCAAACTGGGTTAAAAACGAGTTTTTGTCTATTAAAAAGTCTGTTTTTTTTTTTTTTAATTCTTTTTTTTAAAATAGAAGTTGTATCGGGGTCGCGGTTCACTTTGCTGCTCTCAAGGGGGTCACGACTTAATGAGATTGAGAATCTGTGAAATAAACGAAACTCAAGCCACTTCATCCAATTCAAATGCCAAGCCGGTCGTGACAGCTCATGCTCAAATGATAAATACCTTCCTTAAGGATGCATCTATGGCGGTAGTTGAATTATATTCCGAGCATTTGCTTTTCTCCTCTTCAACGCTTGCCATTCACCTAATTATTTCCTAATTCATTCCAACAACTCATTGATTTCAACTCACGTGTCGCGTATTTTTTTTTTCATAAACTCGCGGAATCTTTGACTTCTCATTAGTGAGTAAAAACTTGTATATTCCTAATCATCCAACACCCCCCCCCCCCCCCCCTCTTTGACTTCTCATTAGTGAGTAAAAACTTGTATATTCCTAATCCACCCACCCCCCCCCCCCCCCCCGCAATAAAAAACAACAACAAAAAAACACACAAGTCTCAGAAATCTGCACCACACATGTCCAGTTACGCCAGATGGTTTTAAGTTTCAACACCCCCACAATTTTTGTGAAGGTGTAAATGCCCCCACCCAGTTACAGGGTGACGTCCAGCATGGCAGTGAATGCACGTGATAAGGGTGAGGTCACGTGATAGGGGTGGGGGTCACGTGATTATGTGGCGTCACGACTTCGTGTGCAATAAAAGAGCTCTTGTTTCCTGCTGGCCTAAGAGTACCCCACGTGTATTGCCAGTTAGCTTGTTGGCACATGGCTGGGATGGAGTTAGGGCAAGTAGCTGAACATAAAATGTTTCAAGTTTGGACCGAAAATCTGAAACAGGGCCGTGCGAAAAAAAAAAAAGGGGGGGGGCGGGGATAAAAAAAGGGGGGGGGGGGCGTTCTATGTAAGAATCTTTCATGGATTACGGAACATTGACTGCAGGCATGTAGTGCTTGGATAAACATTAATATACAACTTTTTTCAAGGAAAGGGCCATAATCATTATTGCTCATGTTGTGATCAACAGCTACCTGTAACGATTCCCTATGAAACTGGTTTTGCGTTTGTTTTTTTGTTTTTTTTGTTGTTTTGGTTTTTTTTATAACACGGCTAATTTATTGCCAATGATCTCTGACACTTTACTTGTAACACAATATGTCATTGTATCCATTATAATAGTCTATACTCTCTTTCCCATACACATATCACGTCTACGCAACAAATATTGAAAATAAAATCTTTTTTTAATTTTATTTGTAAGTGTAAATTATTTTTAAAAATTAGAATGAAGCTTCTAAATTATTGGATGAATCGGACCCCCCCCCCTGCTTTTTTTTCTCTTTCTTTTAGTTTTCTATTCAGAAGTTGTTGTATTGAGCATGTCAAGTGCTCGCGCAGGCGCACTAGAAATAAAAGTATATTTTTAAAAAGCATCTTCATGAATAAAATCTCTCTTCACTTAAATTCTAAAAAAACCAACAACAAAAAAAAACCCACTGACATTTAGTCAATGCAAAACAAATACACTCATTCCTGCAAGTAATCTCTTTATATAATATACCCATGCTGTCCATTCAGCCCTACGACCACAACAGTATTGTCCTCACGTGACTCCCTCCCCTTTATGGCTCTACCTCGTGTGTCAAGAAGTTTAACAATAGAAAAGCCACCAACGCTGAAGAATTAATTTTCTTTTATAATACGCATCATTGAGAACCACTGAGATACAACTATGTCGAAATTAATATTTAATCCGTGAGAGAGCCCCTGAACGGCACGCATTCTTATTAAACCAAAGGGCTGTGTTCCTACAACTCTGTAAATCAAGTAAGGATCAAAATTGAGTTATCGCCGCTGGGTTTCACATCGGGAATCCCCCCATGGTTGGCTTAAACCAGCGAGATTTTGCTCAACTCGTGTTATTATGATGTAATCTCATGACATCATTTTGGATCTGGCGACCTTGAGGAGAAATAAAAGAAAAGCACGTCTGCACAGAACGCTAATGACATGAAACATTTGGCGCACAGGATAACACGTTACATGGTATAGAGTTACCATCCACCGTGGTCACACAATATCATTATAATAATAACATAATTTTAAAAAAAAATAATAATGAAATAAAAATGTTAAAATGACATTTGCTGTTTAAGCGCCCTTGGAGCATCATGTAAATGAGATTTAAAAAAAAAAAAAGATTTCCTCTTAGCAAAGATTGTATTTGCATTTACAAAAAAAAAAAAAATAATTAAAAATTAAACTTCGGAAATAAATATAAATCAATTCAAAA